TGATTATATAACAGCTTCTTAGCTGGATAGAAGGCCACGGCGCCCCTGATTCTCCTTCATCAAGACGTCAGCGAGCAGACATCAATCCAGTTATCCAGGCATCCAGCTTCTTCATCAACTCCCACGACCGGGGAACAACACCTGGACACCACCGAATCCCTCACAATCCAACAGCTCAAGCACAGAAGATCCGATCGATTACATCATATTTACAACTGGAATTGTAGTTAATTGCAAAAATACCCTGTCCTGCAGTGAGCACCGTACAACAGGGCTTACGGTATAATTTGCACCCCTTCCTATCTTCGGCTTATCCGCTAAACTTTTGCTAAAAAGCAATCTTGAAAACAGAGAGCTCCTCCAATCCAGGCGGTCTTCCTCCAGGCAGCAGCAGCAGTGTCACGACGGCAACGATCAGCAGCAGCAGCTTGGTCCGGCAACGATAATTATTGTTTCAGCAAGGTTTGACGATAGGGAGTGCGGCCGACTGCCAGACTAAGGTATGGGTGATAAGGCCCCGGTTTTTCTTTTCACAGCCTCTTTGTTTATATTAAATACTTCGTATAACTATTAATTTAGCTGTCTGTTTTTGCCCGTGTAGATTTGTCCCTAACATCTTCGTCGCTCTGCAATATGCAGCAGTAGACATCTCGAACCACAATAATGGAGCAAATGACCGCCTAATATTTGAACTGATTTAGTAAATTACTCATAAAATACAACTTCATACAGTTTATATAAGGATTATTAGCTAAATATATGCCCAACTATCATCAAATTCACAAATCTATCCCATACTTTCACTTTTAATAAAAAAAAGACTCAAACTTCAACTTTTTTCACAATTACACTTTCAATATTACACTTTCAATAGATGAATTAGGAAAACTTAAGAAGAAAATCATATTTATATTTCATATTTTTTCACTTCTTTCTAGTTTTAAATTTACAAACTTGTATTTATAAAAATGTGTAATTTTTAAAAAACAAAAAAAGAAAAGCATAATTGTTGAAAAAGATGAAGGTTTAGTCTTTTTATTTATAAAAGCGAAAGAATAGGATAGATTTGTGAGTTCCCGAGTTTGATGATAGTTTGGGATAAAATAAGCTAATAATCCTTTATATAATTTGGTTCCCTCTTTCATCAGTATTTTTAGAATGTCAAACTCAGCTTTCATCTTATATGCATTTTCTTGCATATGCATTTATTTTACAATTATGATTTTTCAGAAACATGTCATGTAAGATTAATTATTTCCATCAAGAAAATACTTGATTATCTTCCTCTTCGATTAGGAGAGTATTGCTTTCATCCATGGAAGCCTCAAGATGATTACGTAATAGGTAAAGGATAGCATGTTTGTGTTTAGTTAGTATTCAGGATAAAAAGTCAATTCAAAAATATTTTATTTTTTAAAATTTGAAAGGGGCTGTAAATATGAATTCAGATTTTTTTGAGATTATTTGTGAAATTATTAATTAGTTAATGTAGGACCTGCAAAAAATCAGAACATTCCGAGATGATGGTTGAAGGTAATTTAGAGGGTGTGAGATTATTTCTTGAACAATTATGTGGCAATAATATTAAGGTAAGAGACCTGTGAAAAATCTAATTTTGTGGGAAGCATGAATGAGGATGCTCTGAGGTCCCTAAGATTTAAAGCTGCAAATAATAATTTATCTCACTATTCTTTGTATTTTTGTTACGGTTGTTAGGAATGAACAATATATGGGTCAGAGATTTGGGTAGTCCTGCATATTGTTTTCTTTTGGGGTATTTTAATAAATACTACGCGTTATCTTTTTTAAGAATTGGAGATCAAGACTCCCACCAGCAATTCACCGGGCATTTTGCTCTTGCAATGGATTATTCGAGTACAGGAGTTTCGACATCCACGAAGACCGATCCAGGTATTCACCTTTCTTTGCCTTATTCTCAGGATGCTGCGACCAAGGGTTCCTTATGTGACTACCAGCCATTAATATTATACGTAGTATGATATATCATGGATTTCTATGATTCTTATATCTTAGAGAATTAATGTCTTGTGCACATCAATTTCTGTTTAACAGTTTTGAAATTTTCCTACTTTTTTTTTTGTTCGTGTCGTTCTTTTTATCTTGACCATTGAATATATTCAACTATCTCGTTATTCTTATAAACTTTGTAGATGATAAAGATGATGTTTTTCCGCTGGATAAACTATCTTTAGGGCTAACCAAGTTGCATGAACTTCCCATTCCTAAAACAGAGTGAGTTATCTTTTGATCACTTCATTGGCCTTTTAGTTTTTCTTTACTATATGGATTTAGAACTCGACTATGGAAGCATCTTATTATAGGATTTTAGTATTTAATATGTGTTTTTATTGTTTTTGGACTCAGATATGATCATTAAATCCATGTTTAATATTATTTTTAGATATTAGTTGCACTCCACATTTTCATAGATCTTGTGATAGTTGTAATATTTTTTTTGGATGGAATGTAAGTTTATATTAAAGATCATCCAAATAGTACATATGTACAACAAAAATAGCTGGGCAACAATGGAGGCTATCCAGAGATTGGACGACTCCATCACCTCAAAAACTAGAAGCTAAAGCTACGGCCAACACAAAAAATAGGTGATGGGCCGCAAATATGTTTATCAAAAGACTACCAAATCATGTGGATATTAAGGAAGGAGAGTTAATTAAGGTAATTCATTTGTTCCTAAGTTAAGGAAAAAATTTAATCAGAGATTCGGATGGAAGATTATTTTCTCCCTATCTTCCGCTATTTTCTTTCCCCTACGTTTTCCCCCTTATCCATTTTTTTTTAAGTTTCTACCCTTTCTTGACATTACCCCTGACTTTCTACTGATCCACAAACCACTTTGTTTTTCTCTCATTTAACATATGCAACCGGGTTTTGGGGCATCTGGTAACATTATAACGGTGATCATATTTTCTGTGCACTATGTTTTTAGTGTATGTTGTATAAGGAGGAAGATAAATGTTTTTTTTGGTGTGTCCTGATGGAGAGATAAAAACAACTAGGGGTGAACAAAAAAACCGAAAAACCGAAACCGACCGAAAAACCGCCCGAAACCGAACCGATAAAACCGATTAAATTTGACCGAAATGAAAACCGACAAATTCGGTCGGTGAACCGAACCGACATAAGTTTAAACGGGTCGGTCGTCGGTTTTACATATTAGGCATCGGTTACAAACCGACCGACCGAGGAAGTAATATGCGTAGCTATTCTTCCCTTGCTGTTCTTCGCACAATTGTTCTTAGCACGAAACGGTACTGCCCAAGCTATTCATGGTCAGCTCAAGAAAAGATATTTTTGTTTTCAGTGATTTCATTTTCTAATATACCGATATCATTTAGAGATTTTATGTTCTTCCACTGTGATTCGACCGGCTCTTTCCATATGTGGGTTTTGAGTTAGAACTTTGAACAACTTAAATTTGTTTAAAGATTCCAGGTAATTTTTTTATGTTCGTGCTTTTAGTGTTTCAAACATTCAAGAATGTTAAGTGAAAGTATTTGACCTTCTTGCCTCCAAAGTGTTCGTCAAAATTCCTATAAGAAAGCAAAGAACTTAGTTTAATAGCTAATTAACTTAATTTTACATTTTTTATTCTCATAATTCTTCAACCTTGTTGTTGCTCTTTTTTAATGGAAAACTTTGGATAAAATGAAAGAATATATGCAGCCCTTTTGATCATTCAGAACGTAGTATTACTACATGAATCTGCTAAAGAATTTGTTTTTGGGGGTTAGTATAGCTTTTTGAAACTTTTAAAATCTCTAATGATTTGGTGCCATGTATTTTAAGTTATCAACATTGAAGTATTGCTATTTTGCTGGTGTTAGTATACATGTGTATATTGAATGAGCATATCAGGTGGGGAAAAATCCTTACTGCCAGGCATCTCTGTATTTTGTCAAGCATAGGTGAGTAAACCGAAAACCGACCGAAAACCGACCGAAAAAACCGACTATGAAAACCGACCGACCGAATTCCATTCGGTTCGGTTACCGGTTCTCACTTTTGAAAACCGACCAAAAAAACCCGACCAAAACCGACCGAAACCGACCGAACCGAACCGACGAACACCCCTAAAAAGTAAAAACAACTGCTACAGAGAATGCCAATAGCTTCATTTTGTATAAAAATGGGCGTGTCTTTTACTTTTTGTGCCTTTTATGACTAGCTTTCTGCAACAATCTCTATCTCTTTGACAGGAATAGAACATATGTAGTTCTCGTATCTACTGGCAGTTTCAACCCTCCTACTTATATGCATTTGCGTTGCTTCGGTAAATGTTTTCTTGACCTTGGTCGTTTTCTAGCTTATTGCATTTTATGGGAAATGAAGCAGTGGCATTTTTGCTCTCTATGCAGGGGGGATTCTCTCTTGCTCAATTATTTTCTTCCCTTCTGCTTTAAGTTTCAACAGATGACAATTTTTATTTACTGTTGTCTACAACAAACAACAACATTACCCCAGTGCCGCAAAGGCTCCCACCTATGGTGATGAAGGGGCTTGGATGTACGCAGCCCTACCCATGATGAAAATTGCGTCGAAAATTGCATGGACTGCTGCTCCATAACAAAGAAGCGCTGACAATTTAGTGAGCAGTTTTGCTTTATTCCATCATATTCCCAAGCCAAAAATGATAGAACAACACAGAATAGCCAGAACTCTACACTATAATAGAATCAAGAAAACTGGAAGTTTATTCGCAATGTTTTCGCAGGAATGAAAAATACAGAGATGAACAATTCTGGGCACTTAACTGGTTTCTGGTAAATTTGCAATGTTTCCGCAGAATCATGAAACTCCTGTAGAATAGAATAGAAGTGATCCTGGGAGAATTTTTCGGTATCACTAGTCTATCATTGTAGTATAGTAACCCTTTTCTGAGTGTGAATCTGATAGGGACCCGGACACTCCTTAATAAGAATAATACCAAGTCTATTAGTATTGTATAGTAAAAGGGTCCTAGGCCCAATAACTTGGGGCTGAGGGCTGGCCCTTTAGGATAGTATTATAATAATGTGCGGGTAAGGAGCAAAGAGGAGGACTGGGAACTGGGAGTGCGAGACTATTCAAAGTGTCTCACTTGTATTTTCCGTTTCTGTTTCTTCTCTTTCTTGTAAGCTAGGTTTCGGTTTCTTACATTGTATTTGCTTTAGGAATTCACAGGCTTTCTCTGTTTTCCCTACTTAATAGTTAATATACATAAACTGTCGGGTCTCTATCATTTGTATCAGAGCACCTTCTTGGAATACCTGTGAATGACCTGGACGAGAGCTAGAATGGAGCAACGAGTTGAATCGGTGGAGAATAGTGTTCAGGATCTGTGGACGGTGGTTGACGAAGTGTGGAACTGGATGCTGAACTTGGACCATCGGATGTGTGAAGATGGATGAATTGCGGAATTTGGTAACACACCAGAAGCAACATCGGTCGTGACTCGTGAGGAAGATTACGAACACCAAGGAGAAAGGAACATGACACAAGTCGGAAGTCCTCAGCCAAAGGAGGTAATTCTGATCGATCTCAATCCTCGCATTCCAGACGTGAGAATTTGGATAATAATGTGTTATTGAAAACCGGTAGGAAGATAGAATTACCAATATTCAGTGGTGATGAAGCATATGTTGGATTATTAGGGATGAAAGGTTTTTTAAACTGAACAATATCATTGATGAGGACCGAGTTCCAGTTGCCATTGTAGCGATGGAAGGCCGAGCACTGAACTGGTTCCAGTGGTAGGAGAAACAAGCAACTGAGCTCAGTTGGGAAGAGTTTAAGGAAGCTTGATCTGTCAGTTTCAGCCGGAATAGGTGCAGAACCCGTTCAGACCCCTGTTGAGTGTTAAACAAACAGAAAGCGTGATGGAATATCGGGAAAACTTTGAATTGGTGGTAGCACCTCAGAGAAATACTAATCCACATATGTTGAAGGGGATATTCTTAAATGGACTGAAGGAGGAATTATGTGCTGAACTTAAACTGTATCCTTCTGGATCTTTATCTGAGCTTATGGACAGGGCCTTGTTGCTGGAAGAGAAGAACAGGGTGTGCAGAGGAGGAGAGTATAAGGAAGAAGACAAAAAGGGCTGGAAGGAATAGGGAGGGACTATGGCCAGGCCTCTGAACTGGGTGGAAGCAGCAAAGGGGAGAACACTATTCAGTCACAGATTGCTATTCAGTCACTGACTCCTGAGAGAACACTTTCAGAGAACAAACTGGAGGAATCACTAAAACCGAATAAGACATGGGAGGGAGGCCACATGTTGACACAAGCGGAGTTAGAAGAAAGAAGTAAAAAGGGCCTATGCTTCAAATGTGGAAACAAATGGAGCAAAAAGCATGCTTGTGGAATGAAACATTATCAATTTGTCTTGATGGAAGAGCCAGAAGAAGAGATCAAGAGAAGGGAACAAGGATCTGCAACCTGAACTGGATGTAGCCGATTATCCGCTAAAACCAAATGCCAGATCAGTTTCTTAGTATCCACCTTGAGGACAAGGTGGTAGTTAAAGGGGGAGTGATGATAGGGACCCGAACAGCCCTCCTAATAAGAATAATACTAAGTCTATTAATTAGTATGGTATAATAAAAGGGTCCTAGACCCAATAACTTAGGGCTGAGGCTGGCCCTTTAGGATAGTATTATAATTATAATAATGAGCGGGTAAGGAGAAAAGAGGAGGTGAGTTTTGGGTCGGACTGGGAACTGGGAGTGCGTACCTCAGTCAGATTCTGTTCCATACTTTCAAGTCGATTATCCATTTCCGCCGTCCTTGTGAAGGACTCAAGGTCATTCACAGTTCTCCAACTCGATACTTTGGAATGATCGATTCAACACCTCCAAGAGCGAACACTTTGATACCAAATGATAGAACACCACACAATATCCAGAATTCTACACTAGAATAGAATCAAGAAAACTAGAAGTTTATTCACAATGTTTCAGCAGGAATGAAAATACAGAGATGAACAATTTTGGGCAATTTTGAGAGTGCCGGAGCTCTCCAGGGTCTACTTTCTAACTGAATAACAGCCTCCTTTCTTACTCTCCTCTCACCCCTGTTATTTCTTTCTTCTCCCCAACTAACTTCCCACCTGTCTAACTAACTCTTTATTCTACTCCTTCGTGTATACACCTTGCCAAAATCCCTATTGGGATTAATAATAACAGTACTCTGAGTCCTATCAAATAATTAGTGAGTCTTTGGCTCCATTGGAAATGATGGAGTGTTATTTACTGTTGTCTAAACCGAAAAAATAAATAGAAGCTTCCATGCGATTTTACAATTTCAGTTGTTGCCTCTCTAAATGTATACTAATTTAATTGTTTTCCACCCTTGCCCTATATTTTTCCCTAGATGACGATTTTTATTTACTGTTGTGTACTTGACCTAAAACAGAAATAGAAGAAGCTTCCATGTGATATCATAATTTCAGTTGTTGTCTCTCTAAATGTATACTAAATTAATATTTTTTGTATGCTCAGAGCTGGCAAGAGACACATTGAGTTCACAAGGATTCTGCGTCATTGGAGGTTACATGTCACCCGTGAATGATGCGTATAAAAAAAAGGTAAATAAGCATGCAACTAGGCACTCAATGTGTTCATGATTTTTTTTCTTATTAACAATTTCCCTATACAACATTTTCATCTGATCCTAGACAGTATAGTGTGTGAAACATATACCAATGAAGATAATTTTGAAGTCAAAGTGTCTGCTTTGATCTGCTTATGTGGTTTTCAGAGAAGGAAATGCTTGTCAATGAGTCAATCATCACCACCGTCAAATTAATTTTTTTGGGTCAATTAAGTGTATAAAGTTAATCACACTATAATTTCATGCCAGAAAAGCAGAGTCAACGTTTACGCCAGATGCCCTTAATGTCACAACCTTCATATGAGATGGCAATGAGTTGAGATAATGTCTATTTTCATGAACATTACATTATTTATATCTCAAAACCAATATGCAAATCATGGAACATGACATAAATAGAAATGCATGTTAAAAGTCGTTTCTTTCTATTCTCGGTGTGTATTACAAATTAGGATGGTGCCATAGTGTGTCCACATTTGTTTTAGTAGGCTCAGTATAATTGTGAATATAGACTATAGACTATAGTCAGCATCTTTATTTCAAAGATATACTATGAAGTTGAAGGTCCTTTGTTAACTAACTATATAGTATGCCTGCTTCTATTTTTTTCCTTGGGATGTTCATCACTAGCCTTTACTTAGGTGTGCTTGGATATACTTTTTCCTCTCTCTCCCCACATTCCGCATCTTTATGTCTGATGGGCCTTGTCAAATGAAGCAAATAACTGATTTTTTTGCCATCATTTTCAAAAGGGTCTTATATCCGCCAAACATCGGATTGCAATGTGTCATCTGGCTTGTAAGAGCTCCGAGTTTGTAATGGTGGATCAGTGGGAGGTGTGTGCAAACCTCTCTCTTTCTCCCCCCAAAGTCTTCACTCTATACAGAATTATATCCCTGTGTGTTTCAGTTACTTCTGTTGTTCATATTGTTCATAGCTTTGAGCTATGTCCTAGGGGGGTATAATGAGACTAGAGTGGTCTTACAGGCAAGTCAGAATACCTATCAGCACACATTGACAGTTTTGTCTAGAATCAAGCTCTCATTACTGAACAGTGGATTGCTATCAGGTACGATCGTGACACTACAGTAAGTTGCTGAGCATAGAATAACTCGATGTGCGACTAATTTATCATGTTATTTTTTAAAAAAAACTAATAAAGTGGAGAACTCAATGTGAAACTTGTAAATGAGAAAACTTGATAATAAGATCTGTATTGGTCCATTATCCATCCATTCACATCTCTGGTCTGGTTTGGCGGAGTGCATGTATGTAATGTCCCACATTGAATGTGATAGAGAGTAGAGACCTGGATTTGGGGGCTTAATATTTTAATAAAATGTAATAGTGGGCTGGGCCAAGTAATTGAATAGATTGAGGGAAGCCTCATTTGGAAGGGAATAAATAGAGGGAATGGAAGGGAAGAGGGTAGGCAGAAATTGGGATAGACTTGGGAGAGGGGACTGCTCGAAGTGTCTCGTTGAGAGAGGGGACTGCTCGAAGTGTCTCAGTCTGTATTTCCTTTCCGTTTCTGCACGTTTCCTTCTTAATAGACGTCATTCTACTGTTACGATTTTGGAGCTCCTATCATTGGTATCAGAGCAATCGCTCCTGGAGCCAGAATCGATCATCTCAGAACTTCAACCTGAACTTCAACCTGCTGGAAGAATGGAGGAATTCCGTACATCACTGCGTATGGATAATATTGAAAGTCATTTAAAGGAGATGAGAACGATGATGAACGAGTCGCTTGATGGGATGTGCGACAGGTTGCTTCAACTTTGTCGCAGAGGATCCCAAGGTCGATCTAGGACCGTCAGGAGCCGTCGACCCTCGGAGAGTAAGGTTCCAGCATCATCGTTCATCGCTTCTCATGGTTCGCAGTCACGAACGACTTCCCCTTGTTCGCACTCGCGAACCGACTCTTCCAGATCGCAATCGCGAATCGCGTATCCCAGTACTTCAGTTTCGTCACAAGCAGATACTCTCTGTTCTCAGGTGTCCTCATCCGCTATTAGTTCACAGGACAAGGCTTCTTCGTTATCAGTTTGTTCTCAGGTTTCCTCGCAAGTTGTTTCTCTGAATCTGGGGCAAGCTACTTCTGGAGAGCTTAAGGGTGAAGGTACCAATCAACGAAGCACTGAAGCACTTCCACCTAGCCTGAACTTCTTAGCCTTCACTGGTGATTGCAGTGAGGGCAGAATCCTTAACGCAGCACATGGTGATATTGGTGGTCATGAAGGAAACAGCATTTACCATTGGTATCTTCAGGAGCGTGAAAATGAATCTGATTTACAAATACCAGAAGCATCGGGTCTTCTTCAAAATCACTTAGCTAAGGATGCTATTGGTAAACTTCTATCATTTAAATGCACTCTAGTACTGGATGATTGTCAGATTGGTGAGTCAAAAGTTGGCGAAGGCCAATAAAGTGGTCGCCCAGGAACTCAAAGATTGCTTCCCTTACAAGTAGTTGATATCCCTTCAGATTCTTCCTATTTACTTTCACTGGCTGATGTTGGCTATTTCATATCTGTATCTGGTGAACCTTTTTGTCGTGATTGGGCTCGGGGTGCTCTTGTTCTTTCACAGCAAGTTGTACCTATCTTTCCAGGGCTACCAAATTGAGGAAGGTGACAAGGTAGAAGCATCTGTTGTCGCTATGGAAGAACGGGCCCTCAACTGGTTCCAGTGGTGGGAGACCCAAACGGAGGAGCGGAACTGGGAAGCTTTGAAGGAAGCCATTATACGCAGATTTCAACCAGATTTGATCCAAAACCCTTATGGACCAATGCTGAGTCTTAAACAACGGGGTACTGTGAAGGAATACAGAGAAGAGTTTGAGATGGTTATTGCTCCGCAAAGAAATTTTGACAGGGATATACTGAGGGAAATTTTCATTAATGGGCTTAAGCCGGAGATTAAGTCTGAACTGAAACTATTCAATTCCAGGTCCCTGGCTGAAATTATGGATACATCACTGTTGATTGAGACCAGGAATGAGGCCCTCTATATTCGGAATAAGGAGGAAGATAAATCAAACTGGAAGGATAAGGGACCTATCACTTATAAACCAGCAGTTTGGGGAGAAGGATACAAGTCTAAATCTGGTAATTCATGGCCCAGTACAAGTGGGAAGAATGCTGCAGAAAACAAGAGCAACCCATCTTGGTTTACTCCTGAGGGAAAGAAGGAGACTGAAATAAATCCCTCAGACATCAGGAGGGTGGGGCCACAACTGTCACAAGAAGAATATCTGGATAGGAGCAGGAAGGGACTTTGTTTTAAGTGTGGAGAAAAATGGAGCAAAGAACACTCTTGCAAATTAAAGAATTATAAACTCATACTGGTGGAAGATTCTGATAATGAGGAAGACATAGAAGGTGCAGAGGTGGAAATTAAAGCTGAAGAAGGAACTACCATGGAATTTAAGTCCATGCAGCTTTCTGTTATGAGTAAGGAAGGGATACCTTCTTTGAGGACTTTCAAGGTCAATGGGAGTTTAGAATGGGCTGAAGGAAAGGCAGAGGTTGCTGTACTCATTGACTGTGGGGCTACCCACAACTTCATTTCCCAAAACCTGGTGAAGCAACTTGAACTACCTTATACTACCACCCCGGGGTACAAGGTTCAAATTGGGAATGGAGAGAAGGTTTCCAACAATGGTCGATGTGAGAATCTGACTTTGTGTATGCAGGGTACTAACATAAAGCAAAAGTTCTATATGTTAAATTTAGAAGGAACTGATTTAGTGTTGGGCATGAAGTGGCTGACTACTTTGGGGGATGTGGAGATAAACTTTCAGAAGCAGAGTATTAAATGGAAGGTTCAGGGGGCAGATCAGCAAATTCAAGGGGATCCACACTTGAATTCCATGGAGATATCACTGAAAACCATGACTCAGATTCTGCAGGACACTGGTGTGGGTTATTTTATGTTTTGTGAAGGACAATCTGTGAAGGAAAAGGGTGTGGCTTGTGCTGGAAGTCCGGAAAACAATCTGGGGGCTTTGACAAAATCTTGGGTGCAGGATGATCCACAGTTTATTGCAATTGAAGAGTACATGTTCAACCAATGCGATGCAAAGCTGGGGGTGACAGTAAAGAAAAATGCAGTTAAGTTGGGGAAGAAAATCTTGAAACCTGGTTATGAAACTGACCAACTGTGGAAATTTTACATTGAAGATAAGAATTTGTTAGGGACCCCCACTAGTCTAAATGGAGATGACAGATTCTATGGGCAAGTTTATGTACGAAGGCCTAGAAAATAGACTAGTAGTTAGTTATTAGTTGTTCTGTTAAAAGCTAATAACTACCATTCCGTTGTGAATGCTATAAATAGAATAAACACTGCAGTGGGAAGGCAGGCTGTTTCTAGACTAATGTCTTGGCTGGGAAGTTAGAGTTTTATCTCTTTCTTTGGGAACTTGTATACGGTTTATCTCCTTTGATATCAATAACAGATTTCTTGTTTTTCTATTGTTGATTTCTGTTATAATTCTGTGATTGGATAGTGTTACCTATCATTTGGTATCAGAGCGGTAGATCCGTTGGATGAGAATTACTCGGGCGAAGATGGAAGGACGAGTCACTGAATTGGAGAAGAGTCAGCGGGAATTGCAAGAAGGATTGGAACGGAGTATGAGAGAAATGCAAGCCAGTATGGCGGCGATGCAAGCGGGATTTGCGGAATTACAGAAGAGAAATTCTGATCGATCGAGGAGTCGTTCTCATCATTCGACTTCATCGCATCGCTCGCCGAGACATAAACACACGAAGGACAGCGGTAGCTCAGAAGATTCAGATCATCAGTCGGTTCATTCTACATCGCATCATCATCGCGAACCTGACAGGAATCATCGCTATCACTATCCGGTTGGGAGGAAATTGGATTTACCAATTTTTAACGGAGAAGATGTGTACGGTTGGCTGGTAAGGATGAATAGATATTTCCGATTAAACAGAACCGAGGAAGAACATAAGATCGATGTGGCGGTGGTTGCCCTAGAAGACCAGGCCCTTAGCTGGTTTCAGTGGTGGGAAGGACAGGCGAGGCATCAGACCTGGGAGAACATTACCAAGGATATGACCAAACGATTTCAGCCAGACTTGGTAGAAAATCCTCTGGGACCACTGTTTAGTATGAAGCAAAAAGGAACTGTGAAGGAGTACAGGGCTATGTTTGAAGCAGCTATGGCATCTCAAGGACACTTGACTGATGAGGTGTTGAGAGGAGTGTTTTTGAATGGGCTAAAAAGAGATGTGAAAGCTGAATTGAAGTTGCATTCTACACCAACCTTGGCAAGAGTCGTGGATACCGCTACCTTGATAGAAAATAAGAACAATGAAATCAGTTTGATGAAGATGAAGGATGAAGGGAAGAAAAAGATACAAAGTAGAAGTCAAAACTGGAATGAAAGTAGTAAATGTAAGAGTTACCACCTTACTAATGATGCTACTAAGGTGGTGAATGATAACAAGATGAATCAGGAGGTTAAAGATATTCCTATCAGAAGGAGTGGCCCTAGGCTATCTCAAGAAGAGCTGATTGATAGAAGTAAAAAAGGGCTATGTTTCAAATGCGGAGATAACTGGGGAAGGGGCCATGTATGTAAAATGAAGAATTTTAAGATGATCTTGGTAGAACACTCTGAAGGAGAAGAGGTTTCTGACTTTGAATCTGCAGGTTCTGAAGAGGATAAGACAACAAATTCAGTTCATATGGATCACAAAACCATGCAGCTTTCCATACTAAGTAGAGAAGGAATACCCTCCATGAAGACATTCAAGGTTAAGGGAAGAATGAAATGGCCTGGAGGTGAGAGATGGGTGAACATTCTGATTGACAGTGGGGCAACTCACAACTTCTTATCTCAGGAGTTAGTGGAGGAATGGAAAATTCCTTATGATCCTATTCAAGGATATAGGGTACAGATTGGGATTGGAGACTGTATTCCTAACTGAGGAAGATGCAATGTGGTGGAGTTGTTGATTCAAGGAGTAACAATTTTGCAGACCTATTATCTGTTAAAATTAGGTGGGACTGATGTAGTACTGGGGATGCAATGGC